ATAGTAGTAGATTCATTTGGAAAATCCAGAATGTTTCCTTTTTGTTCTGTAATAATTTTTTTTTACTTACTTATAGTTCATTTAGTTAAAGTTGAAGAAAACATAACTCGTAAGGTGAACAGCTAATTTGTATAGACTATGTAGGGGGTTTCTCTATTTAAATTATCTACATAATCTTAAAAATCTTAGATTTATTGAGTTTTGATAACTAAACATGACATTATTTGCTCATAAAATGGTTGATTATTTTGCCACATTTAGAAATACATTTGTATATGTGACTTTTCCTGTGTTCGAGTCAAGTCTTATGCACTTGCATAGGAACTCCTTTGAAAGAATCTAATTCAACAAATCTAATTTTCACAATTTGATTGTTATTGTAAATGAATGTTTCACTGAATCTTTGTATATATTTTCTAGGCAAGATTGTGAAGAGATTGCTTATAATCACGTTTGTTTTATAAACAATATTTGTAAATATCTGATGATATTGGAATTTATCAATATCTTCACAATATTATTAACAAAAATATATTAATAATCATTTGAAGTCTATCTAAAATAGCTAAACACTCATTTAGTTTAAGATCTCAGAGAGATAAAAGTAACAGAAATGAGACTGTATATATTTTAAAGATGATGTAATGATACTTCCATAATAAAATTCCATCATCACATCTGAAATAAAAGTACTAGTTCATATTTTAATATTGGATTATGAGGTTTAATAGTCTTGTTGCCCCTATTCTTCCTTTCATCATTCAAGCATCAGTAAGAGTCTTTTATATCTACTGTCTCAAGCATACGATATTCAGTAATTGTAAGAATTTTACAATTTTCTTAATTGTAAGAATCAATTGCTTTAAAAAAAGCATCTAGTGAATTTTATTATCTTATTTAAAAACATCAACAACCCAAATCTGGATGGCTTGGAGCATAGGGTTTGTCAGCGAGAGAGAATTGGTGCTGAATTACAATAACACAAAGCCCTGGATTATAAGAGTGGACTCACATGAGTCAGAAATCTTACTCAATAACAAGTTTTACTTATAATATTAAGAAGATATGTAATCACGAGGCAAGGATGGAACAGAGAGAGATCCAGGACCTTCCATGCACTTACCCAGGTTGTTTCTAACCAATCAGGATGCTCAGGCCCAGGTGCTACCTGAGGCCTCCATGTGAAATTTGTGGCTGTATAATGACACAGAAGAGAACCATTTTTGCTATGACACATTATCATTTTATTTTCAGACGGTTGTATAGCTTATGTGACATTTCCCAGAGAGCCATATGCTATAAATTCATAGATTCCAGGTTTTCTTAGTATAAACAATCCTAAAAAAACCATGTATATTCTGCTAAAATCTTTTCATAGATAAGGACTCTCTAGATAAATAATACCACTAGTTTGTATGTCAGGAGAACTGTCATTAGCATGTTTACAAGAGAAGAAAGATTTGACTAGGGTACAGTCCGTGTTTTGCTTTCGTAAGGGTGTCCCGCCCACCCCAGTCTCCCTCCATCCCTGCCACAAGGAAGATATGGATTGCAGACTGCTGCTTCCCAGGAGCTGCTTCTTGAAGAAAATGGGTTCAAATACCGAACAGGAAAGAGACCGGAGGAAAAGCGCATTCGTTTAGTGGTTAGCTGGGTCTTTTGCATATCCCTCAGCTTGGTCCAGGGACAATGCATGCAACTCTGGAGATACCCATGTAACGCTTGGAGGTTATCTCCAGTGTTGAGTGGTCACCATGGCTTATTTTGCTAAAGTCAGCAGCCGAACACAATCTGCCGAGTGTCTGAATATCAGCATCTATACGATTTATCAGTGGTTGACTGAGGAATATTGGGACCAGCCTGCAGGGCGGTATCACTGCTTTGCACACCCCAGTGCATGTGTGGAGAGAAGGGATAAAAAAGATGCAACGAATCATATAATACGAAGCGATGAAAATAGGGTCAAGGAGGTGTACTGCACCATTGGAGCAAAGTGGCGATCGAGTGTGGACTGTCAAGCTGGGCTCACGCCAGACCGGAGGCCTCCCAGCAGCAAGCAGCAATCGAGCGTTGGATGGTACCATGGACAAGGAACGATCACTGCCTCGGAGAGGCCCGGGATAGCACGAGCGTTGACAAAGAGATAAGATATCCTTGATCAGGGCCAGAGCAACACTGAGCCCACCTGCACTTTACTTTACCTCAGGAACAGGAGCAGAGGAGCGGAGGAAGACAATTTTGACTCAGTTTTATATATAGGAAGAGACTGAATATAAATAAAAAAACACATATAGAATGAAGAGATACAAATTCTTTAATAGATTGGATATATAAAGATAAATGATATTTAATCACAATAGAGATAAGAATATATAAAGAATATAAAAGAATTAGCATATACAGAATATAACCACATAAATCATAATGTTTATAGAAGATTTATGCATGTACGAGTCATTCACTTCACTATTCTTTGCATGAAAACGCATGGCAAAGAGTGGGAGTAAGAGAAAAAACAGCGTCCAGCTTTTGCTGGTTGTGTTACCTTGGTCACGTGGCTTAATCTCACCGCCTTGTCTTTGTTTATAAGGAATACCTGCTGGGACAGCGCCGCGCAGCGCGAGGAGGCGGAGGGCGCCGCGGCGAGGGAGCGGCGACGGCGCGCGCCGAGGGAGGCGCGAGGGCGCCAGCGCGAGGGGAAGCGGAGCGAGGGCGCCCGCGAGGGAGCGGGCGAGGAGGCTCGCGAAGGGACGGCGAGGGAGCGCGCGAGGGAGAGCGGGCGAAGGCGCGCGCGAGGGAAGGCGGGCGAGGCAGCAGAAGCGGATCCGAGGGCGCGCGGCGCGGCTGCTCCCGCGCCAGGCACGCCTGCCCGTCCTCACCGCGTGGACCATCTTCTGCGACCGCTTAAGATTTGGAAGTCACCGTTCTTATTCTTCTGCTCATAGAGAAATCACAGACATTCGTTTTGAAGGCCAACAACGATTTCAACTGTCATGGGAAGGAAGCGTTTCAGCTGCGAAGGGGTGAGACCTGCACGGCGGGCAGAGCCGCTTGGTATCAGCGCGGAACCACTGCGAGACACGCACAGGGACATCACAGAGGCCGACCCACACAATGCGCCCTGCCAGTTCATGAGTAAGTCCTCTATAGAAAAACTCCCGTAAACATTGGTCTGGCAGAGAATTTATTAGAAGACCCCAGAAGGCAATCACAGCAACATACAAAAATAAAGTAAAGTGGGACCTGATCAAATTAAAAAAGACTTACATGCAACAGACCACCACTAATACAATGAGACAAAACAGACAACCTACAGATGGGAATTTATGCAAGACTACATAATACTGAATAAAGGCTGATACTAAGATAGAATTATAGAACTCAGGAAAATCAGCAAGAAAAAAATCAAACAACCCTATCAAGAAAGTGGGCAAGGACATGAACAGAAACTTTTCACAAAAGAAGAACAGAGAGATAATGGCACAGCAAACAGTATGAAAAAACATGTGCTCAACCCATCTCTAATCATCAGGGAAATGCAAATCAAAACTA